GCGAAACCATAAAATGAGATGAAGACAGTAGATATACAATATCGCTACCATGGTTGGAAACACATCCACCAATTTCTAATTGTCGAGAACTCTCTGAAAAAAAGACTTTTGACTACTTTTGTAAACTTGTTGCTAACGGTCACTTGAATGATTATCAAGAAGTTTTTAAGGACCGGATTCTACAAGGTATTATAGAAGAAGATCCATTGCAAGATCAAGTCCTACTCTATTTACGAAAGAAGTAATAAAGCATTCTTCCACTACTAAAATCAGACCAGCATTCAAAGCTTCAGCACATGAAAAGTATTTTGTTTCTCTCAATTCTTGCTTAGAAAAGGGCCCCAATCTATTAGAACTGATACCTTCCATACTTTTGAGATTTCGATTGAAAAGATGTGGAGTAACAGCAGATACACATCAAGCCTTTTTGCAGATAAAACTGAATCCCCAAGATAGAGATTATTTGAGGTTCTTGTGGTAAGAAGATGGCGATTCAAATAACTTAGTGATCTACAGATATTGCAGAGTACCATTTGGAGTAACTTCAAGCCCTTTTTTATTAGGTGTTACTATAGCATACCACTTGGATAATGTGGAGGAGGAAACTCAAGAAATGGCCAGGAAATTGAAAGAAAAAATAATTTTACGTTGATAATTGTGCGACCAGTTTCGACAGTTTTTAAGAAGTTGAGAAGTTTATGAATTTGGCAAAACGGATAATGTCAGATGCTCAATTTGAGCTTTGGGACTGGCAGTGCAATACACTTGAAATGATGAACATGGATTATTCTCAGAAACTGAACCTTCTTTAAAGGCAAGTGAAAATACAACAAATTGTATTTCTGTATTGGGCCTTGTATGGGAAGTAAAGGAAGATACTCTCAGCTGTGATACAAAAAAATTTCCTGCTCAAGAAGTACCATTAGTAACGAAAAGGAAAATTTTATCCTTAGCACAAGCGATTTTCGACCCGATTGGATTCTCTTGTCCCTTGACACTGCTGCTGAAATTATTATTACAAGAATGTTGCAGATCAAAATTCGCGTGGGATCAAGAAGTTGCCAGAGAAGATTTTGAAGAAGTTTAATTTATGGCATGGTCAAATTCTTGAATTGAAAGATATTAAAATTCCTCGTTGGATTGCAATTTGCTCTCAAATTTATGAACCTGATAAATGGAGTCTGCATGTATTCTGTGATGCCAGCAAAATAGCCTATGCAACATGCAAATTTATTAGAATAGAAAATAATGAAGGTGTACGTTGTCAGTTAGTGTAAGCTAAGTCCAAAATAGCTCCAATGAGAGTGACAAAAAAGATTGCTGTTTTTTACTGGACACATTCCAGCAATGCTCTCTGTTGGATTAAACGAGAAGCTGTTTGGGCTACATTCCTGGCCAATAGAGTAAACGAAATTAGAAAACTAAGTAGCATAAATGATTGGTATTACATTCCAGGTTCACAGAACCCAGCAGATATAGCTTCAAGAGGATGTACGGTACGACAATTAGTGAAGGCTAAGTGGTGGAACGGGCCAGAATGGCTGAAGGAAAACTTAAGGATTGACACTTATTATTATTATGAACTAGTGCAACCTGACAAATCCGCAATAAATTCGGAGATAAGAAAATGTGCCGTAACAGCTACCAACGTTATAAATACAAGGAATTTATTCTACAACAGATATTCTTCATATAAAAAGATAGTAAGGTGATAGCTTGGATAAAACGATTCTGCAAAAATGCCAGAAATTTACCTAAAGATTGTTTTTTTGGTAATATTACTTTTGCAGAATATGAAGAAGTGGAAAATATTCTTTTAAAATTAATCCAAGAAGAAAGTTTTGAATTTCATGAAGACAAAACAATCATATCATTGGAACCTTTTGTGGATGAGAAAGGAATGATACAAACTATGACAAAGATCTCTCAGAGAAACGACAGTAGAAATTTTACATTTCCGATAATTCTACCTCCCAACCTGTTAATTAAGGAAAAACACGAAAAAAATTCCCATGCAGGTATTCAAGCCTTAGCAGAAATTCTGAGTGAACAATTTTGGATTCTCAAATGCTGGTGTACAGTTCAGCATGTAATAAAAAACTGTGGTCGCTGTAGACAATTTAAGGTAATCAATTTTGACGTGAACCCCATACTATTAGCAGAGGAAAGAGTAACAGACTCTGCAGTTTTCCATATTATGGGTGTCAATTTGGCTGGACCTTTATATCTTCGATGCCAGAAGAAGGCATGGATAGTGATATTTACATGTGCCGTTTATAAGGAAATACACATTGAAATTGTTACTACGAGGGCTATCCAGAAAGTAGATTACGTTTTGGAATAAAAAAATAAACAAAGTATAGGAAACAAATTTTATTATATACAGATGAAAGCCACACTCAAATACTACTTTTCTACATAGTCACCATACAAATTAAGGCATTTATCGTAGCGATATACGAGCTTGGAAATTCCTTCGTCGAAAAATTCGGCCGCCTGCGCCTTCAACCACTTCGTTACCTCTTCTTGCCTTCCATCTTGCACAAAACTTGTGGTAACCAAGCTTTTCGCTGATGATTTCGTGCAACAAACTTCGCGAAATTCGTGGAAAACTCAAAGAAAGTTCCGTTATTGTGAAATTTCGATTTTCACGGACTTTAGCATCGACTTTTTCGAGAAGTTCGGTGGTCACTATGCTGGGTCTCCCACTTCGATCTTCGTCGTGAACATTGGTTCGGCCATTTTGAAATCTTATGACCCACTGACGCACTCCCACCTTCAGTGATAATGTTGTCCCCATACACTTCACGAAGCTGCCGATAGATTTCTATCGGTTTACAGTTTTTTGCAGTCAGAAACCTTATTACTGAGCGCACCTCGCAGCTCGCGGGATTTTCAATTAACGCAGACATTTCAAACCGTCACAGTATCTGAATGGAGCACAGCACGAACCTCTCACTAGCACGGCTAGATGCAGACTGAGCTGCGCAACGCTCTGACCCCAAGATGGCCGCGCTAGCCCCGCCCCTAGCGGACACAGACGGAAACGTAATCTACTTCCTGGATGGTCCTCGTACTCTATCCACAGAAGCATTTATGCAAAGCCTGAAAATTTATAGCTCGGAGAAGAAGACCAAGTATTATATATTCAGACAATGGTACTAACTTTATGGGAACTAATAACCTTTTCCAGAAAATTAATTGGAAGAAAGTGGAGGGAAAAGCCACGATTAAGAAAATTAAATGGAAATTTAATCCTCCTACATTGGCATGGTGAGGAGGATGGTGGGAAAGACTGATTAGAATTATAAAGGACATGTTGAAGAGTATTTTAGGCAGGGCAAGCCTATATTACCAAGAATTACTCACTGTGAATTATAGGAAGTTGAAAATGTCGTCAATTCCCGTCCTTTGACATACATATTGAGGAATACATTCAAGATTTAATGCCTTTAAATACCAAATATGTTTTTAAGTGAACAATGTAGAAATTCTGGCAGTATCGTCAGAAACTCAGAGAAGGTTTATTTTTTAAGAAAAAGATTCAGAGCTGAATACTTAGGAACAACTTAGTGCAAATTCTAAGAAAGCCGGTTTTCAAAATCAAAGAATAAATAAAATTAGGAGAAATAGTTTCGGTTAGGAATGAAAACAGTAAATGGATTGATTGGCAGCTAGGAAAAATAATTAAGCTATATCCAGGGAAGGGTGGACATGTTCGTGTTGTTCAAGTAAAAACAAGGAATGGTGACATAGTAAGACAGTAAGTGCAGAATATTTATCCTTTAGAAATGGGTGAGCAAGCAAACGAAATGACGGTTTTGCAGTCTATTCTGGATAGAAGAGTCAAAGCAGACCTGAAATCTCTGCCAGTTATTTCCAGGAATGGGCAAATAATACATAAGCCAAAGAGACTTGTTCTGTGATGTTGAGTACAAATGCATCATACTCAAGGTGGGGTGAATGTTATGAAACCACGAGCTGATAGACAGAGGGCGCTGACTAACAGTGCTCGAGCAATGTAGATGTTTTTGAAATAAATAAACAGTTGAGAACTGAGTAACGGAAAAAAAATGAAGAACTGTAACAAATTTTTGGTGGTGTATATGTTTTGTAAATAGACTATAATAAAATTTGTTCTATTAGCTTCACATTATTGGATTTGTGAAGAGCTACCCGGCAGTCAGACTGAACGTAAGTACAAAGTAAATTTGATTTATTAGATATTTTGTATTTTTTACGTAATGTAACACCCTCTATACAACAAAAACAAACACTAATGACCAAACTTCAAGGTGTAAATCAGGGCTCATCTGCCACGGGTATGCATACCTGGTTTGTCGTATAAATGCATTTGGAAAACGTCATAGGTTTCCTACTTTGGCTAGTGACATAGTGCACTGCTTGGTGATTACTTTTTAGTGGAGTGCAGATAATCAGAAATAATTTATTATTCTGTAGCTCATTTACACAATATATGGATTTAGAAATAAATTTTATGTGTTTAATATGTTATTTTAAACTCCTTTTTTGTTTTATGTTAATTTAAATTACTGTGCAAATGTTTATTACATTATCTATTACATGTATTTCATACTATATTAGTTACATTTTAAAATATATCATTCTTTCTATATACAGTACAAAGTCCAAGGTCCAGACTCGAGACTTCAGCGTTTCTGGATTTTTCCAGATATTAGATCATCAGTTTTAATCTAGTACGATGACATGTAGAAATTACAAAATTAAAAATATGAAATAGTGATTTATGAAATAATGAAGCATTTATGACCTTATAGGAAACCAATTTGCAAAAAGAAAAAAGCTCAACTTTTATTTTTTTGCTTTATTAAATATTTCCTTCAATGTATATTGTTTAAGTTGCCTTTTTTTTGTGTTAATACTTTCTCTTTAAATCTATAGATAGACATAATTTCTTGTTCAGCTATAAAGTACCATTATTCAAGTCCTGTAACTGCTGTGTCGATAACTCGCACCACTCAACTATCAACCAAATTTTTTTCATTTTCAATAACCTCTCTGTCACTTTCTTCAGCATCATTAGCAGTATTTTCTGCATTTAGAACCATAGATTTTGCAATCTGTCAGTTGATTGATGACTGAAACATTGTCATCACAATGAAAACGTTCTGTTATATCATTTCTATTTCTTACCATTTCTCCACTAATTCCATTAACTGGAAAATTTGACCTCCCAAAACCTTCAAATTCATGACTATCATTACAAAGCTTCATGAGCTACACACTGTTGGCACTGTTGCATGAGACTGATGATCACAGACATGCTGTTCCACTAAATTTTATCTTGCTTCTATTGTGTGCTGAGAAAGATCAGCTTAAATTGTATTATTTTAGTTATTTATTATACTTATGCTTATTTCCTACTCATGCTTAAGGCTTAGAGTCTAAAAATAATTAAATTTCTGCATATACTTAAGGTTTATCAGGGTTAGTGCTAGACATTTTGCTGCTGCCTTTTGCAGTCTCTGTAGATACTTTATTTTGCTGCAAAGAACCTCCTTAAATTTTAAAAATTTTACATCCAAGTGCCTTCCATAAATTCTAAAGCCTTTGCAATCCCTTAATTTTTTTACTTGGCGCTTCTCAAAATTCTACAAATTTTGCCTCTCGTAAATTCTCTTCTGGGCTTATATGAATAACACATCAGTTATTTTTAATTCAAACAGCCTTAAATGTAATCATTTACAAAATCTATTTTTTACGTATGGAAAAAAAAATTCTGTTAAATTTCACCTTGTTAACACACTCAATATATTTTAGAGCACAGTTAGGTGAAATCTGTAATAATCACCAAGCCTAGTGTCAACATAAAAGGTTACCTTGATCTTTGGTATTCAATTAATAATATATATATATATAAAAAGTGCTTAGGAAAAAAAAGTGCTTAGACATTGCTGCATGAGTCATTTGTCAAGTTGCCATGTGTTGATCATCATATGGTGATGAAAGCAAAAAATAATAATGATTCACCAGGAACATAAATTATTCAATGAGCATAAAATTCATGATGTTTTGATGTAGGAAATTTCGGTTTGGTATGCCAAACAAAAAGGGCGGAATGGAGTGAAATTATTGATCATACAGATTTATGTTAATAAAGGATTGTTTCTTCAGTACAGAGGTAATTTATTTAGTGACAAAATGAAATTACGAATTGGGATTATCCACATGTTTTTATTATGAAAAAATATCAAACGCACATGTGTAAAGAATAAAAACAAAGTACAACAACAACAAAAAATGCTAAGAAAAGGGGGGGGGGAGAAGTTGCTGGTGATCCAGATTTTAAATCATTACGGATGTTGAACGTCTGGACATTAGATTTTTGAACTGCAGTATTAAATAAAGCCCCCCCCAAAAAAAAACCTATGCCTTAAAAAATGTTAGTTCAGTTTTCATTGAATAAAATTAGGTTTTGTGTTTTGTTTTACACAAATTAAAAATAATGTCTCTGCTTTATTTTATTCCAGTAATAATAACAAGAATATGTGTTTAAGTGATAAGTAAATAAAAACTACTTTCATTGCTTTAATTCAAATAAAAATGAGCCACATACTGAAGGATAGATCATTGTTTAATTTTGTTGGAAAAATATTTTCTTGTACTTAAATTTTAAGGAAATAAAATTATTTAAATTTTCTTACTTTTGAAATAAAAACACCCCTCCCTCCTTGGGGGGGGAAAAAACTAGCTTGCATTTTAGAGAGTATGCATTTAGACTGCAGGAAATATACAACTCAATTATCAAGATCTTTTGATTAAAAAAAAAGTCAGTGAAAAACATCAAATTTTCTTAAATGCAGTATAGTAAATTTACTGAACCATTTCCTTCAATACTTTTAGTATGATTAAAAACTTCTGATTTATTCACATAACTTTTAATTTAATCTTCTAAACTCAAGAAGAAAACTCTGTTATGATAACAGAGTAATAATACTCTTGGAATTTCTCAAACTGGTATTCTTTGCATATACATTTTATGGCTACTTGTTCCTTTTTCAAGATCTTAGCCAAGGTTACTCATCTTAGTCTACTGCTGAAGTAAAAAAAGAGGAATGGATAGAGATGTAAAGACAGCACACCTACATGATCCACTCTCCAGGATATGATATTAAAGACAAAGTTATATTAAATAGAATAGAGCATCTTTCCAACTAAAAGTGTGAAACAATGATATCATGTTGCCACTTGAGGGTAATAATCCAATAAATTAGATAAGAAGTACAAAGTAATAACACCACTTACCATTGAAGGCACAATTTACAGTTTTCTCCTCCTTTACTTATTTTTAAAATTTACAGTCATAATCTTTTATTGGTAAATATAATGAATACAAATTTTATATTGCATAGTGCATGACTGCTAATGAAGTCAAAAATATAAAATGCGTAGGCTGGGACTTTGTCAATGTATGCTTGTACACTGGGCCAAGTAAATAAGCAAAAGTGGGAGAATTTTTCATGTTGGTACAGTCATTAAATCTAGTTTGGCAGCTGACAGCTCATGGAACTTTAATATTCTCAAATTTCCAGTTTTTATAGTTGAGGTTAAATGTAAGTTATCTAGTGGTTAATTCAACATACTGGAATTATCCAAAATAAATGTTAATCTAAAATTCAACGTTTGAATAAACGAATTGTAGGTACCAACCCTTAGACTTCAAGCAGAAAATGAATATAAATTTTTTTCCAATTAAATTTAGATTAAAAAAAAAAAAAAAAAAAAAAAAAAAAAAAAAAAAAAAAACAACCAAACTATCAGCTGTTTCAGACTGTGCGTTAGGCTCATATACAATCTGAGACCACTGCTCTAAGGAGTTAACACAAAAAATGGGGTGGGGAGAAGTTTCAAAATAAGGCAAAAAGCATGCCCTTGAAATCAATACTTTTTTCAAAATCTACATCAATTTAAGGTTGCTTTTTTAAATTATATATTGGCAAGTTTTTCTTCCATTAAAAAAGGGGGGATTGAGAATATTGAGCCCAGTAATTACAATTTCCTCCTCACAATTTTTAAATAATAAAATCAGTTTAAAAAGGAAAGAATTACATGCATAAGTATGCAAATATGTTAAGCACATAAAATGAAACTCAAATTATTGGCACTTTTTAAATATCTGCATGCAGTGCAATCCCAGTTCAGATGTTAGTTCATAACATATATCTGAAATAAGAAAAACAGTAGAAAATTTTCCACTTCTAAAATTGGATGAAAATATTTGGCTCATTTTTAACGATATGGATTGTAAAAATAAATCTTTCAACCAATTTGATCTCTCAAAAAAGTAATTTAGAAAACAGAAGGAGAAAAATTGACTTCCACAAGGTGAAGATAGATTGGGAAGTCATTAGAAGTGCAAGATGTGAGCAGGATATTGATAGCAAATGCATGTTTTATAAAAAATCAATAGATTCTGCTGTACAGAATTCTTCAGTTAACAAAAAATTATGAAGCACTTGTGCATAATGAAAAATCCATCATTAACCAGTCAGACCGAAAAGAATTTGGATATCTGAATTAGGCTTTTTCTAACTCTGCAGTAGGTATGTATCACCTAGCCATCTATCATTAAGTTGCTTCATTCAAATATGTACTGTTTTCCATACTCATTGGACTCCCCCCCCCAATGCTAACTTCAGCAATAAATTCCTTATGAGAACTATAGATTTACAAGCATTTTATTTTAGATGGATGACAAACATCACTTATGAGGCCAACTATATATTAAGAAGGGAACATTGAGGGTTTTTTTTTAATTAAAGCAATTTAAATATGATAGATAATTTATAATTTTTTATTCCAATTTCACATGATGGATGATTTAACACATTTAAATCATCCATAATTTTAATCAATCCCGATTTAAATAAATGCTAAATGCTGTAAATTGTTTTTGCTGACTTAATGTTTTGTTATTTGGTTTTCCTCATGCAAATTAGATCAGAGGTCAATCAGCAATAACCTTATGTGGTTGCTGCCAATTGGCTAATGATGTAGTATCGGCGGATTGCCCGATGTTGTGTATTTACATGCGAGAATTGATGAACACGTGGGTATTAACTGGATTTTCTTTTCTCATTGGTTTTAATGTAAAGGCTATTGTTACAACCCAGTTGCTTTAAGTTATGAAATAAATATTAGTTTTATTTTAGGTAAGTTCTGGTTTTTATTTAAACAAGGCAAACTGTTCGTTTGCTACAACGCTAATGCCCACAATTTTTATAAACAATAGATTTGCATAGCATTTTTCATTATAAAAAGCATATTTACAATTAGTTAACAAAATAATGAAATAATGTCAGATTTTGAAAAATTGAAACAGAAGCCTTTATATCTACAGATTCAATACAGTCAAAAGTCGTTAATCCGGACTCGTCGGGACTTCGGCGATTCCGGATTATCGATTTTTCCGGATTGTAGATCATCAGTTTAAATCTCGTAAGATGGCATGCAGAAATTCCAAAATTAAAAATATGAAACCGTAATTTATGAAATAAAGAACAATTAGGATCTAAAGGGTATCAAAATTTGCAAAAAGAAAAAGCTTAATATTTATTTGTTTACTTTATTAAACATTTCTTTCAATGTAAGTTGTTTAAGTTTTGCTTCGTTTCATGTGATAATACTTTCTCTTTAATTCTATTAAACAGATATAATTTCTTGTTCAGTTACAAAGTTCCGCCGTTCAAGTCCTATAATTGCTGTGTCAAGAACACCGACTAATTTGTCAATCGAAATTTTTTTGTTTTCAATAACCTCTGTCACTTTTCTTCGCTATCCGAAGCGAATTATAATGACGAGGAACTTGTTTTAAATCATATCAAAGACGGAGCATATCAAGATGAAATACTACATTTGGTAAGGAATTATAAGCCAAATAAAATAAAAACATCTGCGCTGAAGATAAGGATAGTGCTGACAAATCAACTTCCAATTCATTAGGCGCCCGCCGCCGCGAGCAGCGTGAAATGAAATTGATAAACAGATTTCGGATATCAAAACATACTTTCGCCTTAGATCCTTTACATATTAACAAATATATATCGGAAATTCTATTTGATATAATCGAAAGTTTAAGCTTACTTTTATAAAAATTGCTCTTACAGTCTGCAAAAAAATAATAAGCCGGATGCAATTCGAAAAATTAAGGAACAACGCAATCATCAACATTAACTGAAATAGATAATTATTTAGCTCCACGTCCATTATACATAAAATGCGCACGTGAAAACGTATTCTGCACTTGCGCACACTCATATGCGCAGTCGTAAAGGTCTTACGTGCACGCGTGAACGCCTCTGCGCATGTGTCAACGCAGCGCATGCGCAGAAAGTTTTTAGTTTTGATGTCCGGATTATAGATCATTCCGAATTAACGACTTTTGACTGTACTGCAGTTCCTAAAAGAAACCCTCCTATATATGAGCTAAAACTCACCATGGGATTCTAATCCAGGACCCTGCCCAATGCCTCCATCATAATTCTGAAAAGATTTTAAAAAAAATCACTCTCCACACAACACAAATTTCTAACAAAGTGAAAATACAACAATGCACATAGAAAAGACATGAAGGAGATAGTACAATTTTATGGCAAATTTTACTAATTTAACCTTTTTACTTCCTTGTATGAAGTAAAGGAAGTATTCTAATCACGAAAAATTCTGGGTACCATATTTCAATGAAAATATCCATTTTTGCCACAATTGAATGTAATTTAACGATGTTTTTAACATGAAATCTGTACATAGAGACAAAATAAAGGACTCTTTTTCCTCATATGAATTATAAAACTGATTTAAAATGAATTCCGAAGAGATTTTTTTCATGGCATTTGTATCTCGTATAACTCAAAAATGAGCAGCCTCAGGAGGTTGAAATTTTGTATATAGGATTGCTATATCATGTAGTTGTGCGCCTCCCTTTTTGGTGGCAGTCGGCCACACCAAAAGTATGTAAATAAATATATATATATACACACTGTTGCTCGGCTCCGTGAACTCAGTTTTATAAATTCTTATATGTTGGTAAAATGTGCATTTTTTGCTTTAAAAATGATTGAATTATGTTGTTCTTATCTTCCAATTAAGGTTTTTATGCCTTTAGCTAATCTGCATGTTATAGTTGTAGAATTATCCACAATTAAAAAGTTGTTTAAGTGCAACTAAGCCTAATTTTTTTTTTCCCCATAGCAGGCATATTTGTTTACATTTGAAACTTAAGCAGAAAAGTGGATTTGTTGTTAATCTCGTCAGCGCGCAACGAACTGGAAGTTGATCTGTCCTCCTTATCTTCAGGGCAGATGTTTCTTTTTTATTCGGCTTATAATTCCTTACTAAATGTAGTATTTTTTATCAATGTACTCTGTCTTTGATATGATTTAAATCAAATTCCTTGTTATTATAAATATCACGAATACACATCAAATAGTTTTCTGGTTGCAATTTTCTAATTTTGACTATGCATAATGTATGCTTTATGCATGCACGCGTTGAAAGAAAGAAATTTTTAATAGAGTAAACAATAAATATTAAGTTTTTTTTTGGTAAATTTTGATACCTTTTAAATCATAATTGCTCTTTATTTCATAAATTACGGTTTCATATTTTTAATTTATAATTTCTGCATGCCATCTTACCAGATTTAAATTATTTAAATTGATGATCTATAATCCGGAACCACTGAAGTCCCGACGAGTCCAGATTAAAAACTTTTGACTGTATTAAGTTTTATGAAAAGTTGACATACATTGATTTTTATTGGTATATCAAATATTTATTTATATATTTCTAGCACATTTCCATTTAATTAGTTAAAACGCAATAATATTTACAGGAATATTTTTTCTCCATGTTTAAGATAATCAAAAAGCTGTGGACAAATATAATCATATTAAGTGATGTTAATTGCAATAAAAAAGTATTAGAACTTACTCTGCTCAATTTTATGTAAGCAACTGTTTTTTCCACATCCATACCAGACCAGTCTTGTAGAATATAACAAATGCAGGCTGCACAATATACAAATCGCATGTCACTCTCACATTCAACATTCATTGGACGAAAACTAAAAATAGACAAGCTCACATATAATGAACTCATTAAAGCATACTTTGCAGAGATAACATATTTTCGGGCAGTTCTTAGAAATCGTAAAGAATTTCATAAATGTTCATAGGGAAAAAAAATCATATACATACATGTAAGATGAAAAACTATGTAAATCAGCTTTATAATTTAATTTAGTAATAGCCATTTAATTCTTCATTTTTAACTTAGGTATTTCTTCTCTCTATTCTAAAAATCAGAACTTTTCTGGACTGTGTCGTTTCTCTATCATTTTATGTCACATGGCGTGTGTAATGCTGATGATATAGCTGATTCAGAACTTGAACTCAAATTTTCAAGAACTGAAGCCTTTTTCTTAATAAGCAACCTAAATCTTCCTTGGTGAGCCTCCATATTGGATAATTATGCACTTTTGCATGCAAGTGGCACCTCTCTTGCCACTTGCATGCTATTTCGCTCTGTTCGCTTCCTATACAATAGTATAAAAAATGTAAATTTCCTTCACTAGGCATGATTAGAGTGCCAAGTAAATTGTGACTGCAAATGTCAATTGAAATAAAAATGAAGATTTAATCTGTCTCTACTGCCACGTCTGCTGTTCATTACAGATTCAGCATTCTACACAATCAAAATTCTTCTTTTTCATTATAGATCTACATTTTATAGCATCAGCCTTATTATGTCTTTTTCATTACTCACGAACACACACACACACACACACACACACACACACATATATATATATATATATATAGAGAGAGAGAGAGATGGGAGAAGAGGAACAGACACAATTAGTGTAAATAGAAATTACAATTATTTATACGTAAAACCCATGGACAATGAAACACATGGTCAATAAAAATTCTTATATTGCTTTTATTTTAGCACCACTATTTTTGCAATGTAGACTAATTACAAATTATTCCAGTAAGAAAAAGGTTTTCCCTTACAGTTATATTTAGAAAAAGCTTATACTCATTCTTAACAATAAAATACAATATGAGAAAAATTTAGCAAGATATTTAATTTTAAATTAGGGGTTTTTGTAAATTTTTAATTGCTATAAAACAAACTTATACCCTTCCTTGGGGAATTGGAAATAAATAAATTAGGGTGATTTGAGGTTTTCTTCTATATTATGTTATTCAATCATATTCCTTTGTGATTTACTAGTGTGTAACATCCTTTAATTTATAATTTTGTTATACTTTGTATGTCAAGACCATTTTCACACAAGTAATGCAATTTTATTACTTGAATATTCTAACTTAACAAAAAATTCACTGGATTGGGATATGTTTTCAATCTTTAATTTAAGCAAATAATATTACCAGCTGATTATGTGTCAATAATTAAAATATGTTACTATTTTCTAGAGCATGAACTCTATAAGTTTGCATTACTATAAGATGCTTTTTGAAAAAACTTATACTGATGAAATTTTTTAATGAAAATCTGCATATCAATGCACGTCACATAATCCATTAACATAAGAACATCAGAGCGGCCTAAGAGACATAATTGCCAATGAACTGAGATATCAAAATCTGACTACACGTTCTTTTACTTCATACATGATTATATAGTAGCACTATGTTGCATTTTTGCTCTTGCCACATGGCCTATATTATTCATTTTTTATGAGATTTTCAAAATGGCATTGTTTATTTAAAAATATATTCATTGCTTTTTTGTGACTATAATAATAACCTTTAATTTACAAAGTATGCCATATCATTTTTTTTTCAAGAAAAAGGTCTTTTATTTTAATTGAAAGTATATGACCAATGGAGGCCTGGTGGCGCAGTGGCTAGCGCATCGTGCAGCAGCACCACAGGACCGGGTTGACTCCCCGCGCTGGGCAAGGTTGACTCAGCCTTTCATCCCTTGGGTCGATAAAATGAGTACCAAGTTCACTTGGGGACTGAACACTGGGGTTCCTGCGACAAGCCGACCACTTGTTCAGGGCATATGCTTACGCACCCCGTGACCCATAGTCAAGAAAGCAGATTTCGGGACACTGCCGGCCTTGGCCCACTAGGGCTGTTGCACCACTGAGTTTTTTTATATGACCAATGACAGTGAAAATAAAGCTTCTAAGGACTTCATGAACATGGTGTATAATTTTTGTTATGCATAAAAAATAAATTCAAACAAGTACTTATTTCAAAATGCATATCATCTAAATATACAGATATTCAAAGTGTGTATCGTATAATAAAATCGCATTACAATTTTTAAGAATATGCACAATTTAAAAATTTAGTAAGCACTCCTTGTATTTACACAAATCAAATCTTTCACTGAAAGAACTGCTTAAAACACTCTAAGTGATGTTTCCTACATAAATATTATTACAATACAGCCAGTGTTATTTAGTATGATTAGTTAAGATTCTGAAAGATGCCTAAATTTAATTCAGAACGGAACATTCTTTTGTGAATCCATTTATTTAGCATAAAAGTTTAGTTTCTTAAAAAATTTATGAAAGATTTTATGCTTAATGCTGTTAAATGATTCAGTAAAAATGACAGTTTGCATTTTCAGATTCTCTCACTGAATTTCTATCTTTTGCAAAATCAGAGTATCATTGATTTTAATCAGCTTTGGCTAGCTACTTAAATAAATGAGACTCAATGACTGCGTGAATTTGCGATACAAAAACTTTTAATTCTGATTTTTTCCCCAGATAATTAAACGCTATTTTAAAAGCCTCATTCTGAAAAATAATGCAAATTTTATTCATTAATAAATAAATTGTTTAGATCTTATACATTCCTTATTTTAACTTGACTTAAGAAACCAGAAAATGAAAAAACATACGTCAACTTAGTAACTATGAAATTTGGATTTTCAATCTTATAATGTACTCTAATAGTATGATTCTGAACATTATTATCTTAAAGAAGTTTCATTCTTACCACATGTGTTTGAGGAAACACAGGTTGATTATAGATTTATGGTACTACCTCTAAAACAGGCGACTAACATGAATTTTGCCCCTTCTAATCAGTTATTAAGACCTTGAGATAAAGAACTTTGCAAAATATCTGAAAATTTTTTACACGGCTAAAATTTTGGCAACATTCATACTTTTGATGAACTGCATATGCGACCAACATATATATGCCACCATCCCTTGATATGTTAAGTAATAAATTCAACAAAATTTGCATTACTGCTGAAAAGATTATATATATTACCTTCCATCTGGAAGCTGTAACTTTCTTAAACTGGTTACAATATTTTTCTTGTCCACTCGGCTTAAATCATCGCCAAGAATGATAAGCGTGCATAAGGCCGCATATGTCAAGGCAGCATGAGGTTTATCATAAATACTGGAATTCTAAATCAGAAGAATTTTATTTTAGAAGCACACATGCATACACATTTAAAAATAATACACGACAATTAATTACACAAGTAACTTGATCTTTAGCTCAATGACAGTCACTTGTGTCCAATGACAAGCTCTCTGTTTATGCTTTATCAATGAAAGATTATTCTATTATGCGAATAAATATCTTCAGTTTAATTATAGAATGATTTAAATTTGTATTGGAAATATTGACTGAGTTTATTATAAAATCACAATGGACAAAAAGGAACGGGGGGGGGGGGAATATTGAAATTCATATATATATATTGTAATCAGCCAATAGATGGCAGGCACTGTAAGAGAGAGAGAGAAAATAACATGAGTGAATGTAATGGCAATGTGTTGCTTTTGAACGAGGATTCCCCAAATTGAGGTTGGTTGTATACATGTACAGTATAAATGCAATTAATACGCTAATGAAAACAATGCATGTCATTCTGATATGTCAAGCCAGAGAGAACATCTAACAACTTTAGAAGTGGAACGTTAAATACCTACTGGATGACACTAATGTTTAACCTCCCACACCACTAGATTGAAGTAAAAATAAAGGGGTAAGTTCTGATGCGAAATTTGATGCATGTAAATTAAAGAAAATTAAAGAGAAAGTATTATCACATGAAACAAAGCAACTTAAACAACTTACATTGAAAGAAATATTTAATAAAGTAAACAAATAAATATTAAGCTTTTTCTTTTTGTAAATTTTGATACCCTTTAGATCATAATTGTTCTTTATTTCATAAAGTACGGTTTCATATTTTTAATTTTATAATTTCTGCATGCCATCTTACCAGATTTAAACTGGTGATCTATAATCCGGAATCGCCGAAGTCCGGACGAGTCTGGATTAACAACTTTTGACTGCATTAGTTATTATCACAGATGAAAATATGTGGGTTGCAGGACCTGCAGCAGCGGATCGCCAAAAATTTCAGCAGTTTTGATATTTCTTTAACTTATTATAATAATTTTACAGTTACCAAATATTTTTACACAATGTATCTGAAAATAGATAAAGATATGAAAATACATACAAAGAAAAAACAAAAACATTTTGAAGCATTCTTTTTATAATATACACGTTCATTTTACTTCCTTTGCATGTAACGCTGTCATTTCGTCTGTTACTTATTTAAAATTTTCACATTGTTCTATGTCTTAAAATTAGAAATTAAAGTTAATGACCTAAAATTGCAATAGTATATTACAGTACAAATGAAGAAACTGATAGTTTCACTCACACGTGTTGGATTTGTGCAATGCTTATGGGATCCCACAAAATGTTTCTAAATATTACGGGGCTCCTGGGGTCGGGAAAAAAATCTTAGTGATAAAAAAGGGGTCACGACTGAAAAAAGTTTAAGAAGCCCTGCTTTAAATAAAGCAAAATGTTAAACATTAAAAATATTAATGATGCAAGTAATTAACAGAATTTCTAAATTAGAACAAGGTACCAGAGATATACAATCATAAGAAGAATGTGAAATGAATCTATAAGAAAAAGCAGAACAGACATTTAAGTTAGATCTAGAAACTGAAAATTTGATTCCTGGAGCAGAGGACAAGAATAATCAGGAAACAGAAAATGCATAACTTGCACACAAATGAAAGTCAAGAAATAATTCCAGAATTCGGACAAAAATAAGGCAGATTTATCATTAAAGGTAATTTTGCAATGATATTGAGTAGTGAACTACAGAAACCCAAAACAAATTTTCCAAAACTTCATGTATTCACTAGCTAATGATGCACGCACATTATCTGTTAAGTAAAATCGTATGATGCATATTAATTTTGAAATGACACAGTTAAATTAATATACAGTCGATTCCAGTTAATCGGACCACATCGGAAAGCGATCATTTTGGTCCTAATAACCGGCTGGTCTGATGTTAAAAAAATCAATTACAAGGCATATTTTGTATAACCTGTCTGTAGGTTGAGGTTCTCCAGGTTCAATATTTTTTGCAAAATGCAATGCACATAAAATTAATAAAAAAACGATTTCGGCTAATGCTATTTGCAATGCCTCCATTATGGAATAATGAGTCCTTCCACTAATCCTGATGTCTATCCATTTTTACGTTCTCTATTTGCAAGAATGCTCCCAAAAAAAACTAAAAATTCATCCACTTTTAAATTCATTTTATCATTTTCTGTTCCAAAAGTTATTTGTGACTTTTCTTTCATTTTATTGCTACATTGTATTTCCGATGCGTAACGATTTGTTTCTTCGACTATTTTTTCAAGAACTCTTTCAGTAAGGAAAAGGCAAAAATATGCGACAGGAGTACTTTCAGTTCGCTGTATTAGCAAGGATTCAGTTTTTGTAAACCTATGATTTGTCATACAACTTGAATCCGTTTTTCAGTCAACACAACAGTTCTTTCTGATTGCCAAAAATTGTTGAGTTGCGTCTGTGTTAAAATCCATTATTTCTATGGTGTGCACCGCAACATCACTATATCCTTCCGATTCACTCGTAGAATTCCAAATGTAATCTTCATCCTCTGTGCTGCCATAATCAGAAAGATCACTCTTTTCTATGAATTCTAATACTTCAGCTTCAGTCAATTTTTTTAATTTATTTTCCTTTTCTTAGGTTGTGAAGGCCCTGGAATACTTGTACTGTCTGCCATTTTTAAAAAAATGGACATAAAAAGACTGAAACACAAAATTTAAAAACCGCGTACCTAAAATATAAAAATAATGCTTCACTAACATGTCTCAAAAACCTCTTCATTCAACATCCAAAGCCGCACTAAAAATAAAGCATCATCACTAAATTGACTTATCGTCATTACAGAGTGTCGCTGGCATCATTCCAGAGGTTTAAATCGATCGTCATTCCCGAGTGTCACTGGCATACAAAATAGCAACATGCTGATGTGCCAGTGGCAGCGAGCGTGTTAAATACTGGAGAAAGAATATATATTAAAAAAATTAAGATTGCATTTAAAATGTTAAGATTTTGAAATTTTTACAAAATTGATTTTTTTTTTAAATTAAAAAACTATATAACATTATTTTACATATTTAAAGCATTTTTATCATTGGAAGTATACGTCTGAAATCAAAAGTTGTGAAAATAAAGGATGTATAAAGATTTGTGGACACAGAATATAAAAGCAACAAATAACAACAGCACTTGCATATTAGTGCAATCATATTAGAAGAAATTGTCAAATTTTTAGAAAGTGACAAAGTCTCACAACCATTTGCATAACAATTCATCAATTTTCACAAGAAACACTACCATTTATATTTTTATTTTGAGTTCCAACAGTTTTTATAGACAAACTACAAACAAACTCAATTTTAAAATGGGTATGGAATTTGTCTGCAGTACTAGAAATTCCAGTAACATTTCTACAAGAATACAATATTTTGCTGCAAAATCACTTAAAAAACTGCTTTGAATTTATTCCACCATGTTAAAATTGCCACCAGAAAAATAAATAAAACACCAAATACTCTTAAAAGTAGGATTACTGATTAATTTTCAAATAAACACCTAATTAAAATGTAAAATATGCCTGTGTGTATGTAAAATATGCCTGGTTCTCCTCCCTCCCAATAATCAACCATCATTCTTTTTTTTTTTTCCTGTAAATAATCACCAAACTGCCAGAGTGGTTATGCTAATATATATGTACCCAAACAGCAGCATAAAAAATTAAATATCCATTACAGATTAAAAAGCACATAAATTCAACTAAAATAAACTTGGAATGAATGGGAAAATAAATTAGGGGGATCAATAAAGAAATACAAAAAATCAAAATTGCAAATACAGTCAAAAGTCTTTAATCCGGACTCGTTGGGACTTCGGCGATTCCGGATTATCAATTTTTCCGGATTACAGATCATCAGTTTAAATCTGGTAAGATCGCATGCAGAAATTATAAAATTAAAAAATATGACCGTAATTTATAAAATAATGAGCAATTATGATCTAAAGGGTATCAAAATTTACAAAAAAAAGAAGCTTAATATTTATTTGTTTGCTTTATTAAACATTTCTTTCAACACGCGCATGCGTAAAGCATACCTTACGCATAGTCGAAATTAGAAAATTGCAACCAGAAAACTATTTGATTTGTATTCGTGATATTTATAATGACGAGGAATTTGATTTAAATCATATCAAAGACGGAGTAGATCGAGATGAAATACAACATTTAGTAAGGAATTATAAGCCGACTAAAATAAAAACATCTGCCCTGAAGATAACGATAGTGCTGACAGATCAACTTACAGTTCATTGCTCGCCGCGACGTCCCCCCCCCTGCGCAGAGCAGCGTGAAATTGATAAACAGATTTCGGAGAACGGTTAGATAAACAAAGGATATGCCTTTATCCATTTTTTGTAGCAATTCCACTTTTTGTTTGATGGACATTGAAACATACTTTCGTTTTGTAGATCCTTTGGGAGCTCCAGCATCGGAAATTCTATTTGACATAATCGAAAGTTCAAGCTTACTTTTATAAAATTGCTCTTACAGTCTGCAAAAAATAATAAGCCGGATCCAATTCGAAGATTAAGGAACAATGCAAACTGAAATAGATAATTAGATAATTTTAGCTTATACTGTCCGTTATTAAACGCGCATGCGAAAACGTATTCTACGCTTGCGCAGACGCATATGCAAGTCGTAAAGGTCTTGCGCGCACGCGTAAACGCCTATGCGCATGCACAGAAAGATTTTAGCTTTGAGGTCCGGATTACAGATCATTCCAGATTATGGGTGTCCGAATTAACGGCTTTTGACTGTATGTACATATCTTGAAAATGCTGTAGGTTGTTATATCAGCTAAAAGAATGAACAGCATAACTATTTAAGGCACATGTTACAACTTAATAAATAATAGAATCAGACACAAACAAAAAATATATATCAAGCTGAAGAGTTTGAGGAGGGGAAAATTTCACCAACATGAAATTGATTAAAAAAAACATACTCACTGCTGATGAACAAGTAGTACAGCTTCTAAAACCATAATCATTAGGACTAGATTCTGCAAAAAAATTTGAGCATTTGTGAATAACTTATATAATCAAAGCTATGAAAACAGAATATAAATGAGTTTGATAATTTTTTTTTAATAATAACACATCGCCATAAGCCAAATGTAAATGTAACATCAAACATGACAAGAGATAAGCAATCAGTCCTAAAATTACATACAGCTTCATAAAAATAATGTTTACTTTATTAAAATATCTAATGTGTACACCACGACTTCCTTATACAGAATATAAAATTATATGCTTTTTTTCCTTCATTTCATTTAAACTTATTTCCTCGAATTTCATTAGAGATATATTTTCATTCAATTAATTCAGTTCTCACTCCAGGGCACGGCAAAAATACATAAAACCTCAAAATATCTTTATTAAAAATTGAAAAATATAAAACACCAAACATAGTTAAAAAAACAATTTTTACAATTAAAATTAGAATTTCAATGCAAAACAAGCGATTCAGCCAGCGGGCAAGAAGGCAAAATTTTAGATGCACAAAACTGAAAATTTACTTTTGGCCCCATTCTGCAAAAAGACGCTGAAGGTGCAGAAACTGAATTCACAATTCTGTAGTTTTAATGTAAACAAATATGGCTGCTACGGTAAAAAAATTAGGCTTAGCTGCACTTAAACAACGTTTGAATTGTTGATAATACTTCCAACTATCGCATCCAGATTAACTAAAGGCAGCATAAAAACCTTAACTGGAAGATAAGAACAACATAATTCAATAATTTTTTAATCAAAAAATTGTACAATTTACCAACATATAAAACTAAAAAAATTGAACTCCCAGAGCTGAGTAACAGAGTGGGTTTTATATACTTTTGGTGCAGCCGATTACAACCAAAAAGGGAGGTGCACAATTACATGTTATAGCAGTCATATATATAAAATTTCAATGTTCTGAGGCTACTCAATTCTGAGCTATGTGAGATACATATGGACATCAGAGGTCATGAAAAATTCTCTTGTGAATCTATTTTAAATCCTTTTTGCAACCCGTTTTGGGAAAAAGAGTCTTTTATTCTGTTCTCACATACAGATGTCATGCAAAAACATCGTTAAATTGCATTCAATAGCGGTCAAAATAGATATTTTCATTGAAATATGATACTCGAAAATTTTTGCGATTATAATACTTCTATTTCGTACAAGGGAGTAAAAAGGGGCAAATATGAATACATGCCATTATTTCAACCAACTGATATACAGTGATTTAATCTTAGTTGTAGATGAAAAAATACTCTTAACACCAGAACTGCTTTCAGAAAAAGAAAGTGTAAACCCTTGAGTCAGCATCTGCTCTGAAAACTTTTCTTCTCATGACATGATCTCTCATTGCAGTGCATTTTGGTGCTCCAGTAGTAGTAGTAAAATATGACTGCATTTTGTGGCTTAGAAGAATTTAATTGCAACTCTTTGTCAGTTGATATTGTCAAATCGCTTATTCCATACTGATTCTTCTCCTTCTTAAATCAGACTTTCGATCCAAAAGCAACTATATATATATATATATATATGTAATGTTTTCAGTTATTCCAACACATCGTGGGCGAATGGTGAGGCTATTCCATTACACGTTCTGGCAGATGGTTAACGAAGCTGGGGTGATTGAAACACGGAGAAAAAATGACGACTCAGGACTTTTCACTTTTAACAGCAAGCATATCTTTATTTTAATTTTAGCAGATGACTTTTTCCAGATGAAGTTAATCAAATAACTTATTCAGTAATTGAACTATTAGATACGACTGACTTTAAACTTTAATACATCATAACGTTCTAACAAATAAAGAGGAGCATAGCGGAAGCATTAGCAGGACGAAGGTGAGAAGGCATCTGTCTAGGAGAACTTATGAACGCAGCATTTATATGAAAGGTTATGTAACAGAGTAGCTTCTAGAAAAATGTAGAAAAACTTATGACGCAGCATTTATGTGAAAGGTTATGTAATAGGCGAAATGTTCTAGCAGTACTGGGTTTAGGGAACGATCCTGAATTGCAGAAAAGTAATTAAAGGTTGCTGGTTCGCAAAGAGCATAGCCATCGTATTTTTTATTATTTTTTTTTTTATTTTACACACATATATATATATAAAAGATCAAGTTCCTTTTTCTTGCTTATTCATAATGACAAAATTGCTTAGCTACTTATGGTTTGGTTTATTTAATTATGGCAAAGCACACTAGGGCTATCTGCCTAAGGGAAGGGATGCCTTCGTGGAGGACTTAAGAGAAACTAGCTCGTATACATGTTACACATGGGGAAAACCATGAAAACGCCCATGCAGCCAGCCCGTTCGCGGGATGCGAACCTCGGACCGAACTACCAGTGTTCAGCGACTTTACCGCTCTGCCGCTGGTGGGCTCACTTAGCTACTTATGAGATGAAATGAATTAAGTTACCATATCTAGCACTCAGTTACAATAGGTACCTTTTTAACTGAAAACTGCTGTTAGCTTAAATGACTGACTTGTATTTAAGATTATAAATAAGGAACCAAGTTGTCTCCCTTTTCCTACATTTATGTACAATATCACACTATCACATTGTGTAATTTTTTTAATTTGACTAATTTCAAAGGACACATTTTTTTATCAGATTTACATTACTTCTTTTTCTTCTTTTCTCTTACGTCAGAAATTATCAGACTTCAGAAATTATCTTAAATAGAAATTTAAGTACAGTCAAAAGTCGTTAATTCGGACACCCATAATTCGGAATGATCTATAATCCGGACATCAAAACTAAAAACTTTCTGCGCATGCGCCGCGTTGACACATGCAGAGAGGCGTTCACGCGTGCGCGTAAGACCTTTTACGACTGCGCATATGAGTGTGCGCAAGTGCAGAATATGTTTTCGCGTGCGCATTTTATGTATAATGGACGTATAAGCTAAATAATTATCTATTTCAGTTAATGTTGATGATTGCGTTGTTCCTTAATTTTCGAATTGCATCCGGCTTATTATTTTTTGCAGACTGTAGAGCAATTTTATAAAAGTAAGCTTAAACTTTCGATTATATCAAATAGAATTTCCGATATATATTTGTTAATATGTAAAGGATCTAAAGCGAAAGTAGTTTTGAAATCCGAAATCTGTTTATCATTTTCACGCTGCTCGGGGGCGGGCGCCTAATAATGAATTGGAAGTTGATTTGTCAGCACTATCCTTATCTTCAGCGCAGACGTTTTTATTTTATTTGGCTTATAATTCCTTACCAAATGTAGTATTTCATCTCGATATGCTCCGTCTTTGATATGATTTAAAACAAGTTCCTCGTCATTATAATTTGCTTCCGATAGCGAAGAAAAGTGACAGAGGTTATTGAAAACAAAAAAAATTTCAATTGACAAATTAGTCGGTGTTCTTGACACAGCAATTATAGGACTTGAACGGCGGGGAACTTTGTAACTGAACAAGAAATTATGTCTGTTTAATAGAATTAAAGAGAAAAGTATTATCACATGATGAACGAAGCAAAACTTAAACAACTTACATTGAAAGAAATGTTTAATAAAGTAAACAAATAAATATTAAGCTTTTTCTTTTTGCAAATTTTGATACCCTTTAGATCCTAATTGTTCTTTATTTCATAAATTACGGTTTCATATTTTTAATTTTGGAATTTCTGCATGCCATCTTACGAGATTTAAACTGATGATCTACAATCCGGAAAAATCGATAATCCGGAATCGCCGAAGTCCCGACGAGTCCGGATTAACGACTTTTGACTGTACTTATATTTAACTACACAGTACAAAATTAAGATTCGCATAAAAGTCAATTTTTGTACGCACACAAGGAATTTACTAAACTGCTTACCTCAAAAATCATTTATTATTTTGAACTGAATTAACAAAAATATCATTTTCTTCTTATGAAAATAAAAATACTGCACTGTGAATATAAACATCTTTCCATGGTTATAGGAATTTATCGTACAAAAACTATTATAATTACATATATATTCTTTACAGAGGGGAATTGTAACTGCAATAATTACTTTTTTTTACAAAGCACTACATCTGTAAATTTCAGCATGTCTTCCCTTTGTAATTCAAAGAGGGTTAAATTAGTATTCCTGTTCTTGTCATGGGTTCATTAATTTTTTAGTCTGTAACACTTGACAGAACCTGTGTTATTTAGGCCTTCAAATTATCAATATCATAAACAAAGTCAAAGACTTGATCCTTGATATGTATTGTTATGAATTTTGTGAAATTTTAATGAAATTATATGCAAATTATATCTCTTCTATAATGTCACATAAAGGGCAAAAAGCGTGAGAAGCTTCTGCTGGAAAAATAAGGTTACAGGGGTACGTCCACTTAAGTGCTTAGCTGGCCAGGATTTCAGCAATTAATTTTTGTCACCAAATTTGGGGAATTGCCGAAAATCGCAAAACTTATCGACCATTTGTGATGTTTTTGTCTGATCCTTGTATAACTGTAATTGGTCCTATGGTTATGTAACTGTATCTGGTCTTATGTAACAGTAACGGTATATGCCTTCCAGCAATTTCGAGAACTCGGAGGTAACACAAATTTCTCGACAGCTGGGGGAAAACTACATAAAACCAGAGATGGCATCATTTTAGTTTAGTTCAGAGTATTGAACTAATGCATTTGAGGCTTTTGTTTGGTTTATTAAATTACGGTAAAGGACTTGACAGCTATCTACCTAAGGGTGCTTTCATGAAGGACTTTCTAAGGGAAATTGGTTCATATAATGTTACACGTGAGATAAACCACAAAAATGCCCATGCAGACAGCCTATTTGCAGGATTTGATTCTCGGACCGAATCCCTAGTGTTCAGTGACTTTACTGCGTCATTCAAAACTCAATGGCTCCATGTACCGTTGTTTTATCACAATGCGAGAAATATACATACATTTATGCAGATTTTTCATTATTTAATTTCTTCAAATATATGCAGGATTCTAACATTTGGTGGCAATAGTTTGAAAAGTGATTTACCATTTATAG